CTTTGGTCATTTCTTGTGTGAGATAAAAGAACCAAAACTACATAGATGATTTATCGGTCACTTCAAAAAGGGTCCAATAATACCTGTTAAACTGACCTTGACCATAAAGTCAAAATCCTATTTAAGTTTTTTATTTAGTAATACAAGTTCTAAAGTAGAAAGGGGGGCAGTGACCCCCTAAAAATATTTAGAAAAGATGGATGAACTTTCTGGTGTTGACAGCAAGCAACCACACAATTTGGGTTGTGATGGGGCAGTGAGGGGTATGTTGGTGAGTGTGATGGGGCAGAGACGGGTATGTTGGTGAGTGTGATGGGGCAGTGAGAAGTATGTTGGTGAGTGTGATGGGGCAGTGAGGGGTATGTTGGTGAGAGTGATGGGGCAGAGACGGGTATGTTGGTGAGTGTGATGGGGCAGTGAGAAGTATGTTGGTGAGTGTGATGGGGCAGTGAGGGGTATGTTGGTGAGTGTGATGGGGCAGTGAGGAGTATGTTGATGAGTGATGGGGCAGTGAGGGGTTGGTGAGTGTGATGGGGCAGTGAGAAGTATGTTGGTGAGTGTGATGGGTGAGGGGTATGTTGGTGAGTGTGATGGGGCAGTGAGAAGTATGTTGGAGTGTGATGGGGCAGTGAGGGGTATGTTGGTGAGTGTGATGGGGCAGTGAGAAGTATGTTGGTGAGTGTGATGGGGCAGTGAGGGGTATGTGTGATGGGGCATATGTTGGTGAGTGTGTATGTTGAGTGTGATGGGGCAGTGGAGTGTGATGGGGCAGTGAGGGGTATGTTGGTGAGTGTGATGGGGCAGAGACGGGTATGTTGGTGAGTGTGATGGGGCAGTGAGAAGTATGTTGGTGAGTGTGATGGGGCAGTGAGGGGTATGTTGGTGAGTGTGATGGGGCAGTGAGGAGTATGTTGATGAGTGTGATGGGGCAGTGAGGGGTATGTTGGTGAGTGTGATGGGGCAGTGAGGGGTATGTTGGTGAGTGTGATGGGGCAGTGAGGGGTATGTTGGTGAGTGTGATGGGGCAGAGAGGGGTATGTTAGAAAGTTTGATGGGGCAGTGAGATATAAATGGGAGGTTTTGGTATAATATATGAACCATCGTGCCCTAAAAACAACACCCCTAAGTTAATTTAAAGTGGTCTTGGCAGTGACTGTTCTCCATAGATAAGATAAATAAAGACTCAGTACAGTACACACATTACATGAGCTCTGTTAACAGGCCTAACATTTGTGCCGACTGTGAGTGCATGAGCGTACGCCTGCAAGTGAATCAATACCTCTTTAACAATTTGAAGGGATGTAAGATAGAGAATATTGTGTGGCCCTACAATACCTGTCACAGGAAGAGAATAAAACTTCATTAATCAGAACAACTTACAAAATCATGGAGTTTTGGTGAAATGTTGGGTTATATTTATTGATTGTAGAAGGTAGCCAGTCAGTGGACACATTACCAGAGAAATATATCCATTGTAATGGTTGAGATGATTTAAGCTTTCAAGTAGACTAAAAGATCCATTACTGTAATATAGAAAATAGAGGATGAGTGAGGGTGACCGTCTTACTGAGAGATATGACAACAGATGACCCAAGTTTAGTTCTTTTGCCTCCAATAATTATTTCTTTCAGTGTCCTTATCAATAATACTGGACACAAGTTATGTCTTATAGCTGTGTAAGTGACAACATCAACAGACTTAAGAAATAGTTATAATATCATGACAGAATCTCTTACAGTATTATTTGTTTTAGAATTTTACTTAACAGGTCTGTACTTACACTTGCTCTACTAATATTGTTTCTGTTGTTTAAAGTTTTAATAATATGAGGTAATGTGACTTTCTCCTTTCCTCAGCATAAAACATAAATGCAACAAAAATAAGCGGAATGAAGAAATTGGGTGTATAACATAGGTAGTGCACATGACAACCTCCCAGTGAGGCAGTGCACATGACAACCTCCCAGTGAGGCAGTGCACATCACAACCTTCTCTCTGCACATTCTATATATCTCATGTCCTAATATTACTCTACATACAGTACTCCTGTTTGTTATCTAGTGAACACCAGCTGACTTTCGACTAAGTTAAGCAATAACATTTCTATTTATATGAAGAATAAAAAAGAGATACAATAATTCTTCACTAATAAAAACCTGGGAGTCGGCAGATGCCCTGTACACGCTCCATGAGTCTTGGAGAACAGATTGGAAGATACAAATATAGGATTTATATACAGCATATTTTATCAGGATCAGTTGACAAAGAACACTTACTAAGACCATGATATGTAATCAAAATCATAACATTTGAAAACTAGGTAAAGAAAATTTCCTATGGAGTCTAAGTGATGGTGTACAAAGACAAGTCGATGCAGAAACACAAGGTAGCCACTCGCTGGGGTAGATGCTGTACTGTACATTATGTTTCAAATGTATAGATCTTGATTACTTCCATATAATTCATGGTAACTATCCTTATGTTAGTACATGTTGTAGAAATCCTACAAAAGCATAGCTACAGTACATTGAGGGGAGGACCTTCTGTTAGCTGTGAAGCCGCCTTTAGTTCAGGGATCCTTGGGCTTAACTTATATCTGTACATGTGAGACTGGAAGACCAAATTGATGAAGTATTCACAACTTGTGTAATTCATTGATCAGTTATGTGAACACGCTTTACAAGTCATCATATGAAACAACTGAGGAGGAAACACAATTTGCACAAGGTGTATTTTCACATTATAGAGAATGTTAATTTGGATCACTAGAGTTCGTGCCAATATTGAGTAATTACTTTCCGGCACTTTCCTGATACACTAATAACTTCCAACTTGTAAACAAAAGACGAATACACTGTGCTTTTGTCTCCTCATGTAAAGGTTTCTGCACCACACTTGTTAGTACCAACTGGGGGTCAACACTCGATGTACTCTGAAGGTGATACTGTACAAGCTCCACCTCCTCCTCACAGTTTGAAGCATAGAGGTAGCAGCTGTAAGGTGTTCAACACTTCTAATTCTTAACTTGGCTTGCTTTAACATTTTGTTTACTTTGAAAAGAAAACAAATTACAGTTTACTAAAAAAATCAAGAAAAATCCTTCAACTTTTAGACTTTTGTAGGAGCAGCTACATACCTACAGTTTTATAATAGAAAAAAGTCAAATCTGATAAAAATCCATTATTCCTTTACTACACCTGTCCTTCATAACTTAACAAAATCATTAAAGGTGTTCCTTATGTGAAATGTGTTTATAGAATATTTCCTGATAAAACAATATAACAAGTCATTACATAATGAAGCAGCACATTGCATAATATTCAATATACCATAATGTATATCAACACCTCAGTGATGCATAATTAGTATATACGGTAGAGGAAGTATAGTCTGGTCAGGTCACACAATTCTTGGGTAGTCATTCAGTCAGTGAGTCATGAATGGCATTCATGAAGCTGGTTGATGCAGTTTCATAATCTCTCCCAGATAAACCTCCGACACATTTTCTTTTAATCTCCTGCTAAAATTTTTATTTCCATCTCTCATTTTCAACACTAGCTCCCAATTTCGCTGTGTATAAATCAATTTAATAGCCATACTCCCTCCGGGGATTTTGAACCATTTATTGTTTTCTTTTAATACAATTGTTATATGTTTGTCTGTCAGTGTTTTTCCACACCTCCAAAACCCTGGGATGAATAGATAATGATTTAATTACTTGAAGATGGAAACTAAACAAAGTCTTTAAGTTATCTCTCCCCCACTGTTACAAGGAGTGGATTATGGGATACAGTAGAAGGAGTACAGACTGTGGATGGAGGTGTACAGAGAGTGGATGAAAGGGTACAGAGAGTGGGTCAAGAGATACAGAGAGTGGATGAAAGGATACAGAGAGTGGATCAAGGGGTATCAGAGAGTGGATGAAAGGATACAAAGAGTGTGGATGAAAGGGTACAGAGAGTGGATCAAGAGATACAGAGAGTGGATGAAAGGGTACAGAGAGTGGGTCAAGAGATACAGAGAGTGGATGAAAGGATACAGAGAGTGGATCAAGGGGTATGGAGGATGGAGCACAGCGAGGATCAAGACTAGAGTCAAAAGCATCACCCAACAAGTCATAAACTAAAGTCAAAGACACAAACAACATTTTAAAGTGTCATAATATAACTGTTAGTCTGATCGTTCTTTTGGATATGTACAGTACAGTCCTGTATATAATGTTCAATAGTAAAATTTAAGGTAACATTAATATGATTGTCAATAATTTCAGTCCCTTGTTATACAGTAGTCAGTGATAAGTAAGTAAGTAAGTGTGTGTGTGTGTGGTCACAATCTGTTACTTCCTTCAAATATTCAACTATCCTCTTTATTTTAACCCCTTACGCCCCGGGCTAGGGTGCCGCCGGCCATACCCCCCCCCTCTCCCACTTGGGGTAAAACGAGAAAAATCAACTTTTCCCCCAAATTTTTAACCTTTATAAATGATAAAACAATAAAATAGACACAAGAAAAACTATACATTGTCCCTCTATATTCTTTTGTGGTGCCTCTATGACGAGACAAATAAGGGGAAAGTTGTTTTTACATCGAGCGCTCGCTGTCACTACACACTTAGGGGTTATTATCTGCTTGGCTTTGTATCCGAGATGGCCAATAATGCATTTATTTACTGAAATAATACTTATTTACAATAAATAATTCATTAAGAATATTTTATTTGCATTATTTTTCATAAAAAGTGCTTGGTAACACACACGCAGTCTGTCTGGTTGTCTTTGTGTTTGGGGGAGCCAGTAATGCATATAAATAATTATTGGAACAGTAATTCCACTAATAAATACATTTATAACATAATCATACCATTATTTTCCAGTAATACTACACTACAATACAACTACACTACTTTTAGCACTATTACTTTGATACAACATGATAAAATGGACAAACAATGAAAATGAAACAAACAAAAGTAAGTAATTATGTTCAGGATGCTTCCCTGTGGCCGAGGTGTGGCATGACAGGCAAATAGTCACACTGGAACCTGATAACCCGCGCTGGGCATTTAAACAGTGGCGGGAAAAGGCGCGCGTTCTGGAACGTCACCCGGGGCCTAAGGGTTACTGGAGAATTACCGTAATTTGATATACCAGGGTGTATTTCTATAAATATATAATATACTGATTAGCATGCATGTGAGTTTCTTTAGCACTATTAGGTTGAGCAGAGGTGAAGTGAACATGTGTCTCTCTGAGCCAGAAGTCCCCAACAAAAGCTGTGGAGACGTCTTGGGGAGGCAATCTTTTGTCCCTTTGGTGTGGCAGTCTGTCAAAGATTGATGCTGGCGAGCTATGAGTACTGCACTGACACACTAATACAGCTTAATACTGCCAACCATCCTCAATTTAAGATGAACAACCTACTTCATCTACTGCTAAGAGTATACTATCTGATGGGCTGGGTGGATACCTACCACATGTTTTAGTTAATGATTACAACAGTATGACAGACTACCACATGTAGGCAGCAAATAACCTGACTGTCAGGATGGAGATCTATCTACAGCACACCAGTGGAAGCCCAGGGAAATGTTAAACTGCTATGATGGGGAACTTGCATGGAAGGCCAACACATCTTTGAGGGGTCAACTGCAGGGTGTATGAACCAGTTGCATGCATTTTGTATTATCCCAAATATGATAAACTATTTTGAATTGCAAGGTGTATATGAGAAAATATAATTTAGTTTTGTCAAAATACTGACATGATGTGTAAAGTTTCTAACTTGAAATGTTATTATTACATTTCACTTTAGAGAATATATTCTTATACAACTGTATACAGCACTATAGGTGAATTTAAAGCCCTAATAAAAGTTATATCCTGTTTGCAAAGCAGATAAATCCATATAGGCATTAAGCCTATTGGCATCTCCAAATCACGCATATATCAACACTTGGATATAAAAAATAAAAGCTGAATTTCTAATCAGCAATCTCTGGTGTAAGTTTTGAAGAAATACTAATTACTGTACACACTCATTATAGTTTGAGCTGTGGCCACAAGGAAAATGGAAGATCACATGAGGACCATGGCAGAGGCAGACCCCACACACTCACTACGGATCACTATACAAGAGGAGTCGACGGCTCGCTCGGACGCTCCTGCCCAGCCCTGCCTGCCACCATCCGTACGAGGTTTGTGGACCCAGATCAGTATATACCAGAAATATATCACATAGCAAGGCAGAGTAGTTATATTAGTCTCTACTAACCACCTGTCTTCTACACTACATACTCCTCTGTAGCTCCTACAATAATAGCCCACCTACCAACACGTTCAGTTCAGAGACTAGGAAGCAACAGTACACAGGACCTTCAGCCATATTTGATGAGAGTGTCTCTAATTGTTTTCTATTTCACGAACAACGAACATTCTGGTCAAGAACAGTAATAATTGTTCAATCTGAAAGTCTTTTGTTAATAGATGATAAAAAGTTCTTCCTGGAAATAGTGTGTGTTAAACTCTCAATAAATATAGTTGAAGATTTCCTGCTGAGAAACAGTGAGTTGACAGAGTCAGGTATATATAAATATAAGATTTACTGTGTCCAGCAGACAGTACAGACACTTAAATAATTATTATAAAATATCCATTGCATTATAGCTAATGGAATGCAAATATTTTTTCAGTTTATGATTTTTTGTCTGACAAATAAATGTGTCATTCTCAGTAAACTTTTCTAAACTGGGGTAATACAGTATTATTTCCTCTTCAATAACTTCATTTTAGCTCATCAAAAATTCCCAAATCACTGTACAGTATTCTTGGACAATATAGTCGCACAAAGTCTTCCTAACAATATGTCTATCACAATACCGAGTCAAAAACTCCACATTTCCTGCATACAGCTCTGCATCGTCTAAAACAGTTCAACTCCTGTTCATGATCAGGATATTAAGTACACTCCTGTACTTACATAATACCATTACCGATGGATAAAAAATCATGTTACTCACAGCGAGACCGTCTAGTTATGTTTAGATCTGTGACCGTTCATATAGTCCTTCCAGCGTTGAGCAGTGGAGGATATCACCGGATCTGTGTCAATGGACGCCAGCAACAGCAGCTGCGTAATGTGAGTCGTGTGGTAGTCCCAACGCGCTCTGTTGGGAGGTACGTGAGTTGTGAAGTGCCGCAGGTCATACAGAGAGCCCCATCCAGTATCATATAAGGGTAGTAACCTTTTTAAAGACCTCATGCCATCCTCGAACAAATCTCCGCTGATGTTACTGGAGTCTCCCCTGAAATAAATAAGGAAAATAAAGTAATGTGGTAAAAGATGGTAATACAATAAGGCATTTCTAGTAAACTTAACCTCTTAACTATGTCTAAAAAAATATTGTAAAAGAGAGATTCAGTATTTCACAGTAATTCTGTCTCATACTCCTGGTACACAGAGCTTTCTGCAATTATTTTTTTCAGTATTTCTGTTTTTACTTGAAATATAATTCCTAATATATTATCACTGAGCAAATAACCACAAGTAAAATACTGTAACTTATATTAAAATTTATAATAATAAAATTTACAGTTATTTTTGTGTACTCTACATAGAGTAAAGTACAAAGTAAGTAATTGATAAAAAAAACTCAGGGAACAGTTAGTGTTATAATCTAATAATAAATACTACAAAGTCTACAAAATTTTATTTACTTTCTACTGAATGGATACTATTGTGAACACATCTTTAAAAACTTGTGGTTGAGAGAACTAGAGACAGTATGAGCACAACAGCTAACTCATCTACTGGACCATCATAACAGCTATCACTATAGTGTACAGACATCACCTCACTGTCTAAATGGGTTGGGTTCTTTGAAAACCACTCAAATAGTGAACTAACCTAAGTGGATAAAATGGGGTTTGGTTCATCAAAGACAAAGAATTCGGTTCATTAACAACAAATATAATTATCTAACTACTGTACTGTAATTTAGTACGTACCTAACTATGTATATTAACTATGTATAAGATAACCCAATATTGAAATCAGCCAGTGCCTTCTTGTATTCATGGCCTCATTACTTCAAGCTTGTTTTCAATTATCACAGGCTTATGCAGTCTCTTGCTGATAGTGGTTGCAGCCAAGGAAGCAGCACAACATTTGGACACCATTGTGAACAGGGGGGTTTCCTGGTTGCCCGAAAACGCCCCTCCAGGTACTGCATGGTGCGGCCAACCCATACCTGACCTGGCGACACCTTAGTAGCACGAAGGTTGGGTCAACCTCACCCCACGCCACGGTAACTTCCACCACCTCTGCCATTCCCATGCACCTGAATGCACTTAATATACTGTCCAGCACTGCCAGACAGTGTGAAATATTGAAATTTAATGTGTTTTTTTTTTTTTTTTCATTTTCTCATCTACATTGTACATTTTTTATAGATTTTACATATTTATAAATTATTTTTCCATCCACTTTCAAATATTTGATGATTTCGCAAGTGTGCTTCAAATAACTGTATGGTACGATAATACGGCGTTGGAAATCGAGCATGCTGGGTCAGGGAACATGTTCCCACTTCTCTCGTCCTCACTTCACATGTAGTTTTTGGTGTAGTTACATCTACTTTGGATGCCACAGCCTTCAACAACGCTATGTCTACCAGTCAGCAAACAACTATCAATCGTTTTTTCTCGAAAAGGTAAGTTGTCATATTAGTCTCGTGCTGGTATATAATTATTGTTATAGTTAACTATAATACAAATATTTAAAAAAAAAATTTGACTTCTATTATCCTGTAATATAAGTCTATATACAAAGATTAGGATGCTAAATTACACCATCTTCAGCTGAAAGGGCTCGCTACACTCGCCAGACTTCTCAGTAATTTGGAAACCCCCCTATTCAATTTCTGGGTGCACCCCTGCATTGATAAAGAGAGATCACTGCAGTTCAACTGAACACTTAGGGATGGCTGCCAGACACGCTTTGTTACAGAGACACAACACGACCCGACCCATACGACCTGCACCTTGTGTTACCAAACTTCTACTTACGAAAATTCTTTAAGATCATAAAGGCCCAGAAGACTGTAGATGAAACCATTGAGCACAAAGAGTGAAGGATTTGTTGGATATTCCTCATACCAGACGTAGCCGCCCGGGAAGTACGTCCTCACGCCACCTACAGGGAATCAAAGGTGTTTAGTACAGTACTGTGAAGCATAAAACATCATATCTGGTGAGAAATACTGTACTGCTTTCACTTATGAAAAAGGTATAAATTTCTTAAAATATTTCAACTTAATCTAAAAGTCTGTTTAGAAGTCTCCTCAAAGACAGAAAATTTTCACCATTATTTATTTTGCTCAAAAAAGTATTTTGTTGTTTTTAGTCTTTCAAAGATGGACGTACTCTATATGATTTTTGTTAGGATTGGAATTTTATATTCAGGTCAAGAATATATTACAGAAATAATATAATAAGTTTTACAGATATCCTAAAACCTTCCACATACAGTATAGGACAAGAATAGTTTAGGGCTTAAAATTACAGGTCTGGAGAAGCTAAAAATGTGACGAAATCCTAAAATAATACTAAAACAGAATGAAGATCTTTACCACGAGTTGCATTAACTGAAAATAGTGATGTGGCTCTGACAGCGGCCTTCAGGTACCGGGAGTCACCTGAGTGATGCGCTGCTCGAATCAGGAGGGACATAGCCTGACCCTGAGCCATGGCAGAGTACCAGCCAGCACCAAGTTCCAGGACCCCACTGATCACCTGTACCAACACAAACACTGTTACCCATGTGCTGACAGTGACACTAAATCTATCATTATCATCATACCACTACTGTACCTATCATTGTCATCATACCAGTACCTATATCATCATCATCATCATACCACTTCAAATATCATTGTTCTACCCTTACCATACATCTTCACTCAAGACCAATATTTGCAAATAGTTTATGGAATGTTAAAACAAGAATTAAACTATAGTAATCTATTCTTACTACTTTATAACTTGTACTTAAACATGTTAAGACAATTGTTCAACTCAGCACTGATGTTATTGTGCTTGTAAATACAAGCACAATAACATCACTAACATTTTCCTCTCTTAAAAGGACAATTGACATACTGTAGTTTCCTCTTAAGTTTATGTACAATAATTATTCATAACAAATAAGACACCTCAAGCAGGCCTTCACTGTACACTGACGTCTTGGTTTTGTTAATTTATTTATTGTGTATATTTTTTACGGTACACTTTCCGACTATCACTTATTTGACTTCATCATTAACTTACCCGAGACACCCCAGTCAAGGAAGCTCCTCTCTGATGGGTTAGCCAGGGCACAAGAAACTCCTGATTAATGTCTTATTTTATATCTCCTTTACCACTTCCCTACAACCTGAAGAATCTCCAACCCTAACATTATTTGAGGGAATGACATTAGGTTAGGTCAGGTTGTTTTCACTACCATGATGTCGACACCCCTCATCTCCACGTCCCTGAATAAGTTAATAAAGTATAATGGTAACACTTTAAACTATAGCCACACACACACATCACCTTTCGTGGTACAGGGATGGACCAGCCTCCCTGTTCATCCTGGTGCTTCAGTAACCAGTTGGCCGCATCATAAAAGTGGTGCAAGTGTTCTGCCGAGGCGAGGGTTATGTTGGTGACACTTCCCTCCCCGTGCAGCGACAAGGACACGATCGTCAACTTGGATCTTGACACCTGCGGAGAAACGTGCGAACCTTTCATCACTGTTACAAGGTGGCAACAGACAAGCCTTTGTTATATATCCATCCCCCACTGTCCATCTCACCCCCCCTGCCCAGTTCCCTTTAGTTAAACTCTATCATCATTCACCTCCTTCATTCCCTTCACTTCTTCTCCACAATGGTTTTGTTCTGTCATTTTTTTTATCCTCACACAACTTACAATTCGTTTTAATGTCATAGAGACACTTCATCTCTTGTTAAACTTAGATCACTTCATCTTTATTTTCAATAGTTTACTAAGCAGGTCTATATAGCTTGAATATTAACCATTTGTTAGTTATATTACCCTTCAGAGCCTGTACTGTTGTCTGTACCTTTCTTAGTCCATCACACAATGTCATCACCATCATTGTTACCTTTATCATCACCATCACCAGCCTGTATCAGTCCCCTACTGGTTCAAGGGCCCCACTTTAGTCTCAGACAATACAACACATTACAGCCACCAGGCATAAAACATATCTCAATATTACCTTCTTAAATTTTTTACGCAGGGAAGGGGAGGAGGTGGCCCCCTTGTGGACGTCAATGAGTAAGTTACGGGTTACAGTCCGCCATCCTGTCTGCTCCCCGAGACCGTAATATATATGGCGATCCTGGTAAGAAAATTTCATAGAAATTTAGCGTCTGAATGAGATAGGGGATAGTAAGAGAAGGGAAACAAGGAGAAATTAATACCAGTTTGACTAAAGATGAACTGGTGGGGGTAAAGAGTTTTATTTAACTGGCAGACGGTGTGTTAGGTTAAGTGTTTGTTTTTGGTTCTGTCCACCTGTAACAGAAAACAGGAAAAGGATCAACAAAATACCACTAATGGTTAATGTACTGTACCAGAACTTGAAGTATTTTTTCAGAACGGATGTAATGAATTGTGACCACCTCTGTCTTCTTATCTTGAAACTCAACAGTGACGGAAAAACTGGCATTCCCGTGAAGCAGAAGATTAAGACTCAGCACCAACATGTTTTGTGTGGGAATCTTAGCCAAGTGGAGTATGGCGCCGCCCTTTGATGACGACTCTGTGATGAGAGATACAGTAAATCATGCAAGATGTTCACTAAATCACCAAATTACAACTGTGTAATATTTAGTTTTTATACATGGGTTCAGTGTGTGTGTATATGACTGTATTTACATCTCTTATACATATTATACAGTATATTCATAACAAAAAGTAAGAAAGTTGGGTATATAAACATCGTAACATCCAGTTTAAGTGTTAAAACATTCAAGGGTCAACAACAAACACTGAAATGACCAAAACATTGTATTATATTTTAGAATAATCAACATTTCTATCAGTTTACTCTCCAGACTTCGACAGACTCACCCGGAGCCTTGAACTTAAGGACGTTGGTGTGGACCATGGGGTCGGCCACTCTCAGGACCTTGGTGTTGACCCCCTCCAGCCACGATGCCTGGTGCTCCCCCCCGTCCTCTATCATTATTCTGAAATGTATTAATTGTCCACCACTTATACACTACACACCTTTATCTTCCTTTGAATCTTTTTCAGTCACTCAAATGCTTTTAATTGCAGAAAAATATAATGTTGGTTAGGTTAGGTGAGTATCAGGTAGGTGCATCCTTCCACACAAACACATAATCTCAAGGTAATATATCCATACTCTATAAATTAAAATACAAATCTACAAAAATCTAAAAATCAATAAGATGATACATATATACAGCCCTCTCTAGCACCACTAAGTTATAAAGACTATAAAGTAGAGTAAAGTTAAGGAACAATTCTCCTTCAGTACAGCACCTCTTAGGGGATGACTCTGTGAGGTGTTTACAGTAGTGAGAGAGACCAAACTGTGCTATCTGTATGGGGTAGGTGTAGCCCGAGCTCTGCCACTGGGTAGACATGGGCACTCCTGGGGGAAGAGATGGATATTATATTATTATTATTGTTAAGAGGATGACTACCTCATTGACTAGTTTCATTATTTATGCCAAAGCCTATGTTGCCACTCTCTGGCCATAGATTATGTAGACATTATTCTACCATTACCTTCATTGTACAGCACAGTACTACCGCTACTTCCCATGTACAATACTACCATAACCTCTTATGTACAGTACTACCATCATCTCCCCTGTATAGCATAGTACTGCCATTACCTTCTGTGCCAGAGATACACTTGACTCTCTCCCGAGCTTCAACATTGTACAGTTCAAAGTTGAGGAACGTCCCTGTAGGTGTGTAGGGGCCCTGGGGGTTGTACACTCGGCTGTAGCTGTGAGACCACTCAAACACTTCTGTACCGTCTGGCTTCTGTTCCACACGCCCATACACCTGCAAAAAGGAAAAATAAGACATCAAACTGCCATCATATCCACTGACTAGCTGGGCTGAGAAGGTATACTAAGAATAGATTTTGACCTAACATGTAGAAATTGTCAGCATTAAATGGCGAAGTACAAGTAACCATGACACATTACTGTATGTTTCTATAGACAAACCTAACCCAAGCTTACTAACACTACCTAGGGATAGTTACAGGGTCAGTTAGAATAGTTACGATTATTGATATTCATTTTATTTACTTTCAAACTAATAGTCTTGGTTGTGGTTCATTTCCAACACTGGCTGGGGCCTGAGGTCTACAACTCAGGGACTTGGGAATTTAGCCAGTCAGCCAGTCAGTCAGCCAGTCAGTCAGTCAGAGAGCCAACCAGAAAGAAAGAAAGAGGAGGCACGCAGGAATCAGATATGAGTGACTGACTTATTGCATCAACAAACACAATATATTGAGTCAGCCAACCCAGCCAACAGCCAACAGCCCAGCCAGCTCAACCCAACCCAGCCAGCTCAACCCAACCCAGCCAGCTCAGCAACCCAGCCAGCTCAGCAACAGCCAGCTCAGCCCAACCCAGCTGGCCCCACAGCCTTAGCCAGCTGGCCCACACAGCCCAACCAGCCCCTGGCCCACACACAACCCAACAACCCAGCTAGCCCACACAACCCAACCCAGCTGGCCCCACACAACCCAACAGCTAAGCCCACACAGCCAACCCAGCTGGCCCCACACAACCCAACCAGCTGGCCCACAAGCACAACCCAGCCCAGCCCCACACAACCCAACAACCCAGCTGGCCCCACTGACAACCCAGCTGACCCCACACACAACCCAACCCAGCTGGCCCACACAACCAACACAGCTGACCCCAGACAACCCAACAACCAGCTAGCCCCACACAGTAACCCATTATTGTTACCTGACCCAACCCAATTGTTGAACAACCCAACAACCAGCTATTTACAACCCAACCCATTATTTGGACAACCCAACAACCCAGCCCCAACCCACCTGACCTTAACACATTGACCCACACAGCCAACCAGCTAGCCTGACCCAACACAGCCCCAGCCCCACACAGCCAACAACCCCAGCTAGCCCCCACCCCCAACCTAACCCAGCTAGCCCACACAGCCCAACCCAGCTAGCCCCTAACTGCCAACCCAGCTAGCCCACACACAACCCAACCCAGCTAGCCCCACACAACCCAGCAGCTGGCCCCACACAACCAACACAGCCCCAGCCCCACACAGCAACCCAGCTGGCCCCACACCTGACCCAACAACCCAGCTAGCCCCACACAACCAACAACCCAGCTATTTACACAACCCCAACAGCCCCAGCCCCACACAACCCAACAACCCCGGCTGGCCCCACACAACCCACAACAGCTAGCCCCACACAACCCAACCAGCTGGCCCAGACAACCAACAACCAGCTAGCCCCACAACCTAACCCAGCCCCAGCCCCACACAACCCAGCAGCCCCAGCCCCAGACAACCCAACAACCCAGCCCCAGCCCCACACAACCCAACCCAGCCTGGCCCCCACTGACAGCAGCTAGCCCCACACAGCCAACAGCTATTTACAACCAACCCAGCCTGACCAACACAACCCAGCAATAGCCTGACAACAACCCCAACCAACAGCAACACAACCAACAACTAACCCACAACCCAGCAGCCTGGCCCACACAGCTTCAACAACCCAGCTAGCCCACACAACCCAACCCAGCTAGCCCCACACAACCCAACCCAGCTGTTACACCTGACAACACAGCTATTTGAACAACCCAACAACAGCTAGCCCCACAGCAACCCAACCAGCCCACACAACCAACACAGCTGGCCCACAACCCAACCAGCTGGCCCACCTGACAACAAGCAACTGGCCCACCTGACAACAACCCAGCCCCAGCCCACTGACAACAACAACTGGCCCACCTGACAACAACAGCCCCAGCCCCCACACAACCAACCCAGCTGGCCCACCTGACAACAACCAGCCTGACCCCTGACAACCGGCTATTTACAGCCAACCAACTGACCCCTGACAACCCAATGGCCCACCTGACAACAACCAGCTATTTACCTGACAAAACAACCCAGCTAGCCCCCACACAGCCCAACCCAGCTTCAGCCCACACAACCCAACAGCAGCTAGCCCCACACAACCAACAACCCAGCATGGCCCACACACACAGCAACCCAGCTAGCCCCACACAACCCAACCCAGCTAGCCCACACACAACCCAACAACCCAGCTGGCCCCACACAACCCAGCCAGCCAGCCCCACACAACCCAACAACCCAGCTTCAGCCCCACACAACCCTGACAGCTGGCCCCACAACCCAACAACCCAGCTATTACACAACAACCCAGCTGTTACACAACCCAACACCTTCAGCCCCAGACAACCCAACAACCAGCCTGGCCCCACACAACCCAACCCAGCTAGCCCCTGTGTGGCTGGCCTGACAACCCAGCTATTTTATTGTATTGCCTGCAGTCAACCCAGCTGGCCCACCTGACAACCCAGCTGGCCCCACACAACCCAGCCAGCCCCAGCCCCACTGACAACACAGTGGCCCACACAACCAACCAGCCTGACCCCACACACAACCCAACCCAGCTATTTACCTGACAACCAGCCAGCCCACCTGACAACAGCCAGCTAGCCCCACATGACAACAACAGCTGACCCCACACCTGACAACCAGCCAGCCCACACTGACAGCAACCCAGCTGGCCCACACAGTAACAACCCAACTGACCCCACCTGACAACCAGCCAACTTACCTGACAACAACCCAGCTGGCCCACAACCCAACCCAGCTATTTACCTGACCAACAACCCAGCTGTTACCTGACCCTGACAGCTGGCCCACCTGACAACAACAACCCAGCTATTTACACAACAACAGCTATTTACAAGCCCAACACCAGCCTTGAACAGCCAACAACCCCTTCAGCCCCACACACAACCCAACCCAGCTAGCCCCACACAACCCCAACCCAGCTAGCCCCACAACCCAACAACCCAGCTAGCCCCACAGCAACCCAGCTATTCCCACAACTGTAGCTAGCCTGGCCAACCCAGCTGGCCCCACACAGCTGTAGCTAGCCCCACACAACCCAGCTATTGCACAACCAACAACCCAGCTAGCCAGCAACAGCTAAACAGAGGCTGACTCACTGTGCCAACGAACAATAGCGAGATATTCAAACACTCATATTCTTCTGTCTTCACCAACACCTAACAACAATCTGCTCCCCCATCTGCACCTACAACATGAACCAGGGGTGAGGGTGATGTGTGGGTGGTGATGTGCCAGATGGTGAGTGCCAGGAGTGGTGATATTGTCAGGTGGTGATGTGTCAGGGTGTTATTAATGTCAGGGTGGTGATGTGCCAGGGGTAGTGATGTGTCAGGGTGGTGATGCCAATTGGTGATGTGTCAGGAGTGTGCCAGGGTGGTGGTGATGTGTCAGGGTGGTGATGTGGTGATGTGTCAGGGTGGTATTATTGCCAGGGTGGTGATGTGTCAGGGGTGGTGATGTGTCAGGGTAGTGATGTGCCAGGGTGGTGATGTGTCAGTATGTGTCAGGGGTAGTGATGTGTCAGGAGTGGTGTGTCAGTGTGATGTGCCAGGAGTGGTGATGTGTCAGAATGAGTGATGTGTCAGGGAGTGGTGTGTGTCAGGGTAGTGATGTGCCAGAATGATGTGTCAGGGTAGTGATGTGTGGGTAGTGATGTGTCAGAATGATGAGTGCCAGGGTAGTGATGTGTCGGGTAATTGATGTGCTTGGGGGTGGTGATGTGCCAGGGTGGTGATGTAATCAGGGTGTCAGAGGGATGTGGTGATGTGCCAGGGTATTGTGTGTGATGTGTCAGGGTGGTGATGTGTCAGGAGTGCCAGGGTGGTGATGTGTCAGGTGGTGATGTGCCAGGGAGTGTCAGTGATGTGTGAGGGTGTCAGTGGTGATGTGTCAGGGTGGTGAGTGGGTGGTGATGTGTCAGGGTGGTGATGTGTCAGAGGGTGGTGTGGTGTGTCAGGGTGTGTCAGGGGTAGTGATGTGCCAGGGTGGTGATGTGTCAGGAGTGGTGATGTGTCAGGGTGGTGATGTGCTGGGGTTGACAGCCCGTGTCAGGGTGATGTGTCAGGGGTGGTGGATGTGTGTGTGCCAGGGGTAGTGATGTGTCCGGTGGTGATGTGCCAGGGTGGTGATGTGCCAGGGTGGTGATGTGGGTGTGATGTGTCAGGGTGGTGAGAGGGTGGTGAGGGTGGTGATGTGTCAGGGTAGTGATGTGCCAGGGTGGTGATGTCAGGGGTGATGTGATGTGCCAGGGGTGATGTGTGTCATGTGTCAGGGTGGTGATGTGTCAGGGTGGTGATGTGCCAGGGTGGTGATGTGTCAGGGTAGTGATGTGCCAGGGTGGTGATGTGTTAGGTCATTGTCTTGTGGTTAACTATTATGATGAGAATGAGTGAGTGAGAAGGAGGGTTGAGTAAGGGTGGATGAGTGGAAGGGAGAGTGAAAGGGAAAGAGGGAAGGAGTGAGAGGAGGAAGTGTTAGAGAGAGGGAGGAAGAGAGGGAGGAAGGGAGAGAGGGAGGGAGAGGAGGGTGGTGAGGAAGGTTGCTGGGAGCTGATCATCCGTCTCTTAATTTCCTTTCACGTCCTCCTCCTCCTCCCCTCTCCCCCCCGTCTTTCTCCTCCCCTGTATATGGTTACGTTATGATTGGATAGAAAGAAAGAAAGAAAGACGAAGATAAAGAGAAATAGACACGGAGAGAGAGAGAGACTTACCTCAAAATAGTTATGGATAAAGGAGAATGGGATGTACACGTCATTCTGGTCTCGTTTGCACATCACTTCAGACTCATGGTTGATGACGCAGGGGATCTCCGACAGTCGTTCACCCGTTGCTGCACGACCCTCCGACGACGCTCCGTCTCCTCCCTACACCACGACACAAGGGGGGAGGGGGGCGTTCATATATGAGTTAAAGGTCTCTCAAATCACACAGTATAATCCTTGTTAATTTTAATAGACAATGATAATCTTACTTTAAATATAACTTTAATTACAATAAACAATATAAGATAAATATACAGTATACACAATGTTTATTTATAAAGTGTCACTGGTCATTCAAAAGTATACACTGTACCTACCTATTGTACTGAGGCTTTTAACAGTGAGACAGACGTGAAGTTATGGTGACAAATAATATGGTGTTATATATGGAGTGATAAACCTGTCTATATGTACTGTATGAACTCACCAAGACAAGGGGAGAGGGGTGTGTGTGTGACTTACCTCGTGGTGGTGGTTGTGGTGGGCGTCAGCAGCACCGCCCACACTATACTCCACTTCCACATAGGTGTCTTCCCCGCCCACAGCTCCGCCCGCCTGAAACATTACAACCACATTAATCCTCTACTGAATACTGAGGCCAAGACACCGTTGTTATGAGTACCACACAATTCACTCACTCTCACCCAACACACTCACACACACAACTGACTCACTCACTCACTCAATTAACTCACACAACTGACTCAATATTTTCACCCACACAGGTTGACTCAGGGAGAGAGTGACCACTGGTACGTCATGTAAGTCTAGATAAATGTTTCGTGGTCAATCTGCTTCATAAGCCTCGGCCCTGGCGGTGGTCAGCTGGTCTAACAACACCTCTACATACATAGTATTTCTGCCTGAGACTGGCCGGACAAACACGTTCATCATTTACGATCTGTGAAATCCTGAAACTGATCACTGAAATGGTGATAAAGATTTGGCTCAAGATTACCGAGGGAAGTTTATACCAACGTCTGGAGGATAGATATATGATATTCTCTTGATTTATGGAGGAGGCTGGATAGAGGTGTCACTATATGTGTGAGACACCATTTTGTGCTGCCGCTCCCCCTCACCTGCTCCACCACACAAGATGTTTAGAAACGCCGTGTGCACTTTACACCATAACAACTTTGTCTACATTTGTCATATAAACAAAGTGTACCTGGCATAAGTAGATTATTTAATACAGCTTTAGTTAATAATTATTTCATACATTTCTAGGTTTGAATATAACTACTTTATTACATATTATTACGGGTTATAGAAGTAATATGTTGAACACGGTAGGATATCACCCTCCCCTCTTCCTCTCCCACTCTGTCTCTCTTCCTGGCCTACCATGTTCTCCTTCTCTCTCACCTTCTTCCTCTCCTTCTCTTACACCTCCCTCTCTCATCTCCTTTCAATCCTCATTTTTTCTCCTCTTCCTCCTTCTCTTCTCCCTTTCCCACCCTTTTCCTCTCCTCCTACCCTCACACCCCACCACCTCCTCCTGCACCATTACCCAGGACGCCAATAACTGCAGCGCCACACCTCCAGTATTTATTCTGGGCTCTTCTACTCTCTTAATTTCCGGCGGTAGTAAGTGTGTGTGTGAGGATCCCGGCGGTACAATGGTGATGGCAGGATGGTGATTGGAGGGTGACACTGATGAAAACACACACTGATCACTCTAATAACTGCCCCAACCATTGTAAAAAAAATCATCAACAACTCGTAGATAACGTATGTGTTCACTCCTTGTTAACCTCGTTGGTGTACTGTAGCTGGGACATTACTTGTTAAATGACCCTCTCTGTCATTATATATTATGTACAGAACCATTTATGTCGTTTGTATATCTTTGAGTTCACGGGCGACTGTACCTGTTGATATACCGTTTATTATTATTATTATTATTATTATTAGTAGTAGTAGTAGTAGTAGTAGTAGTAGTAGTAGTAGTAGTAGTAGTAGTAGTAATAGTAGTAGTAGTAGTAGTAGTGAGCAGCGTGATTGTGAGGCCGTTTTCCTGGTGGATGCCTCAAACGCATTCAACATACTTAACCGCAAGGCCGCACTGCACAACATCAAGATCAAGTGTCCAAGCTTTGCAATGCATGTTGAAAACTCGTATAGGAATCCATCAGACCTCTATATAGTAAACAACAAGGCTCTAAGAGGTGACCATCTTACAATCAACAGAGGGAACAACACAGGGGGACCCTGTTGCAATGGCAATGTACGCAATAGGCCTATCACTGCTCCAACAAAAAAAAAATTGAAACTAAGGTCAAACAAGTGGCATACGCTAATGACCTTACAGGAGCAGGAAAAGCTGGAGGACATCAAAAAGTGGTGGGACCTGGTAGCATCGCGAGGTCCACAAATAGGGTACCACCCAAACGCCAGCAAGTCCTTCCTCATCGTGAAGCCAGAACATTATGAACGGGCAATGGAGGTGCTTGGCGGAAGTGAGGTCAAAATAACAAAGGATGGCCAAAGACATCTAGGCGCAGTAATTGGCACTACGGACTTCAAGACCGAGAACGTAACTAGAAAGGTGAATGAGTGGGTTAGGGAAATCCAAGCTCTGTCTGAGATTGCTATCACAGAGCCACATGCGGGTTTTGCGGCATTCACCCATGGAGTGAGCATCGCTGGAACTACCTGATGCGCACTGTCCCTGATATCGGACCCCTCCTCCACCCCCTGGAAGAAGCTATCAGGGTCAATTTCATTCCCAAATTAGTGAAACACCCTCACCTAACCCCAGCAGAAAGATCACTTCTTGCACTACCACCGAGACTGGGAGGAATGGGACTAACCAATCCAGAGGAGATTGCTGCCACTGAGCATCAAAACTCAGTTAAGCTCACGGCAGCCCTCACAGACCACATAATAGCTCAGAACGCAACAGGGGAGGTGGATACCAGTGAAGTAAACAAGATCCGAAGGTCCATTACGACAGAACGGCCAAAGTGACAAGTTGCAGCAACTATTGCTGCAAATACCAGAGAATTTGAAAAAAAAAGCGATAGCGCAGGAGGTGGGCGCCTCGAACTGGTTAACTACGTTACCGAAAAGGGCAAATGGTTTCCGTCTCAATAAACAAGAATTTACAGATGCCATTGCTCTAAGGTATGGTCGGCCAGTAGAAGGTTTGCCCTCCCAATGCGTGTGTGGCTCTTCCTATGACGACGATCACGCTATGGTGTGCAAGAAAGGGGGCTTCATATGCACGAGGCATGACGAAGTAAGGGACCTCACAGCAAATATGTTGAAGGAAATCTGCCGTGATGTCAGGGTAGAACCGACCCTCCTTCCTTTGGACGGTGAGATCTTCCAACATAGGACTTCAAACACTTCTAACGAAGCCCGTGTTGACGTCAGTGCTCGAGGATTCTGGACGCGGGGACAGCGAGCTTTCTTCGACATCAGGATTTTTTATCCCATGGCCGCATGTCACCGTAACCTAGCTCTCGATGCTGCACACAGGAGGAATGAGAACGACAAGATCAGGGCATATGGGGAGAGAATTCAAGATGTTGATCAAGGCAGCTTCACTCCTCTGGTGTTCACAACCTCTGGTGGGATGGGACCAAGTGCTAGATGTTTCTACGCCAGACTCGCGGAGGTGATCTCCGAACAGAAGCAGCAGCCCAGAGGTTATGTTACAGCCTGGATGAGATGTCGACTGTCTTTCTCTCTCCTTCGGTCGGCTTTGCTCTTCCTCAGGGGAACGAGAGCTTCTGCCCCAACTCCGACAACTGCTGCAGATATTGACTATGAGGCTACTGTCACTGAATGCCGCATAGATCTGCGGCTCAACTAATTTAACACAGATAGGATAGCTTCTTATGTATTAGGATATTTAATATTAAGGTAATTAAATGGTGGCGAAGGTGTGGCTATTGGGGGAGGCTGGAGGCCACGTAAAAAAAAAGTAGTAGTAGTAGTGGTATTATTATTATTATTATTGTGGCTGTTCTTGTTGTTAGTTTTGTTGTTATTACACCATAACTATAACTCATAACCACATTAGTGAAACCTGGATTGACACCACCTAAGACTCTAACAGAGAGAGAGAGAGAGAGAGAGTAACACTCTACAGCAGGTAACTCACTACAGCAGGTAACTCACTACAGCAGGTAACTCACTACAGCAGGTAACTCACTACAGCAGGTAACTCACTACAGCAGGTAACACACTAATATTAAGTCTTTATAAAACAGAGAATTCAATCGTGCAGCGAGAGAGGAAGAAGGGCGCATCCCACACACGTCTCCTGCCCGCGGTTGATTAGTGAACCCAAGGAGAGAGTAATGACTGCAGTGTGTGTGTGTGTGTGTGTGTGTGAGTGTGTGTGTGTGAGTGTGAGTGTGTGTGTGTGTGTGTGAGTGTGAGTGTGTGTGTGTGTGTGTGTGTGTGTGTGTGTGTGTGTGAGTGTGAGTGTGTGTGTGCCCAACAACTAGTTCCAACATTTCCTGAAGGTGCCGCGTGTGAAAGGGTCTACTCCCCCTCCTCATATCTCCTCCCTCACCACCACTTATCCCCCCCCTCTCTCCCCCTCCCTCACCACCACTTATCTCCTCCTCACCCCCTCCTCACCACCACTTATCTCCCCCTCCCTCACCACTTATCTCCCCCTCCCTCACCACCACTCCCCCCTCCCTCACCACCACCTCCCTACCACCACTCCCCCCCCTCCCTCACCACCACTCCCCCTACCACCACTTATCTCCCCACCACCCCTCCTCACCACCACTTATCTCCCCCTCCCTCACCACCATATCTCCCCCTCCCTCACCACCACTTATCTCCCCCCATCCCTCACCACCATCTCCCCCTCCCCATCCACCACTTATCCCCCCCTCCCTCCCACCACCACTTATCTCTCTCCTCCCTCACCACCACACCACTTATCTCCCCCTCCCTCACCACCACTTATCTCCCCCTCCCTCACCACCACTTATCTCCCCATCCCTCACCACCACTCCCTCCCTCCCACCACCATCTACCACCACTCCCCCTCCTCACCACCACTTATCTCCTCCTACCACCACTTATCTCCCCTCCTCACCACCACTTATCACCACCACTTATCTCCCTCCCCTTATCTCACCACCCTTATCTCCCCCCACCACCACCACTTATCTCCCCTCCTCACCACCACCACTTATCTCCCCTCCCTCACCACCATATCTCCCCCCTACCACCACTTATCTCCCCCTCCCTCACCACCACTTATCTCCCCTCCCTCACCACCACTTATCTCCCCCCTCCCTCACCACCACTTATCTCCCCCTCCCCTCACCACCACTCCCCCTCCCTCCACCACCACTCCCCACCACCACTTATCTCCCCCCTCCCCTCACCACCACCACTCACCACTTATCTCCCCCTCCCCACCACCACCACTTATCTCCCCCCCCTCCCCTCACCACCACTTATCTCCCCCCCCTCACCACCACTTATCTCCCCCCTCCCTCACCACCACTTATCTCCCCCCTCCCTCACCACCACTCACCACCACTTGTCTCCCCTCCCTCACCACCACTTATCTCCCCCCCCTCCCTCACCACCACTTATCTCCCCCTCCCTCACCACCACTTATCTCCCCCCCTCCCTCACCACCCCTGTCATGTCATCTGTAATATCACCCACTTTGGCCGTCGGCGTCAACCGGCCATTTTCCCTGCGTAATAATATACCTTATTTAGCCACGCCGCCCCGCCGCCCTCACTAATTACATCTGCAACCTCTCAAATGGTCGCCCTCACTGATAGCCATGGTGGGCGGAGACAGAGGGGGGGGGGGGAGGATGAGGGAGGGGAGGGGGGATGGAGGAGGAGGGAAGGCTTGGAAGAATGGTGCAGGGTAACTTACAAAAGACACACGCACCCCCCCTCCCCCGATGGTTACCTCCACTGCCGACACAGGTCACGACAGGTGCCTCCATGACCTGTTAACACACCCACACTCCAGGTCACGTACACAGGTCACGCTAACCACTATATACCTCTTGACTAATTGTGTCTCGTCTGCAACATACACTTTGAGCCACCAATACGAGACGTAACAAGGTCAGGTACCAGGTGGAGCAACACCCTGTTAAGTCTCACCTCAGCCAGAGTTATATCCTGCTCCTCAACACGTAATTGTGGCGTCATTATGAGCCTCAGCAGTGGTGACCTACCTGGTGACGGCTGGTCTGTAATGGTGATCGGTGAAGTTGTTGCTGTTGCTGCTGCTTGGTGCCATGGGCGTGGGCGGCTTGGTGCATGGGCAAGTGTGGTGCGGGCGGCCGACACTGTGACCACAACAAGACGGTGGTGAGCAAGACGCCCACACTGCCGCCCACCAACACTCCTCTCACCGTCACCCTCATCTTCACGCCCACCCTCACACACCGCCTCAACAGCTGTGTTACGCCGGCCACCCACCTAGTGTGGCAATAATGGTAAGTCGAGGGCGTGTGTGGGCGTGGTGGCGTGGGGGCTGGGAACAGCAGCGGGTGTGGGCGTGAGATAGAGCTGTTCCACCATGCCCACGGCTCTGTCCTGTGGGTGGCGGTGGGTGGTGACGGGTCGTGATGGTGGTTGGTCTTGACGGTGGGCGGCTGGTGGACTGGTAGTTATCGTGGTGGTAGCTGCCGTCAACACTCACTGAGACACAGGGAGGAAAAAAGTTACAAACGTAATTTAACATAATTCAAAGATACTGTACCTGACCTACCTGACCTGACCTACCTGTTAAACTTCCCCACACCTGTCCCTGCCCCCCCACACCTGTCCCTGCTCCCCACACCTATCCCTGCCCCCCCTCACCTGCCCCTGCTCCCCACACCTGGCCTACCACAATGCCTCATCCCACTATGGGTAATGATGGCTGCCTTAAATACAACCATTGTGTCCTGTATCGACCTGTGCCTCATGAAGCCTCAGTCTGGGTGGAAGCTGCTATGTGAAGCCTCAGTCTGGGTGGAAGCTGCTATGTGAAGCCTCAGCCTGGGTGGATGCTACTATGTGGAGCCTCAGTCTGGGTGGAAGCTGCTATATGGAGCCTCAGTCTCCAGGAGATAAGGGAAGCCTCCTCACCTGACAGTCTGAAGGTGATAGGTGATCCAGGTGACTGTGTGAGGCTTTACCTTACATGTGGCGCATCCTGAAGGAAGGAAGGAAGGGCGAGAGGGAGGTAGGGAAGGAAGAGGAGGAGGGGAAGGAGCTAGAGAGAGAGGGAGAGAAGGGTAGGCACGTAGGAAAAGAAAGAAGGATTGAAGGAAGACAAGGAGGGAGGAAGGAAGGATTGAAGAAAGAAGGGAGGAGGAAAGAAGACAAGGAAGGAAAGGCAGGTAATGGTAACTCCTCCTCTGGGCCAAAATTTGCTCCAGGACTTTACTTGTTGGTTTAGTGTTTGTGTTTGTGCGTTAATGACGACTGCTTGGTGGTGTCAGTAGTCAAGGCGGGCCGAGGGAGAGCGGGCCGGGGACGAGGGAGAGCGGGCCGGGGGCCGAGGGAGGGTGGGCCGGGGCTGAGGGAGAGAGAAATTCCCAGTCAATCAAATAAAAGTTCAGGTAATAAAGATGGCACAAGTAACAGGTAATAAAGATGGAACAAGTAACAGGTAATAAAGATGGAACAAGTAACAGGTAATAAAGATGGAACAAGTAACAGGTAATAAAGATGGAACAAGTAACAGGTAATAAAGATGGAACAAGTAACAGGTAATAAAGATGGCACAAGTAACAGGTAATAAAGATGGAACAAGTAACAGGTAATAAAGATGGCACAAGTAACAGGTAATAAAGATGGAACAAGTAACAGGTAATAAAGATGGAACAAGTAACAGGTAATAAAGATGGAACAAGTAACAGGTAATAAAGATGGAACAAGTAACAGGTAATAAAGATGGAACAAGTAACAGGTAATAAAGATGGAACAAGTAACAGGTAATAAAGATGGAACAAGTAACAGGTAATAAAGATGGCACAAGTAACAGGTAATAAAGATGGAACAAGTAACAGGTAATAAAGATGGCACAAGTAACAGGTAATAAAGATGGAACAAGTAACAGGTAATAAAGATGGCACAAGTAACAGTCAGGGTCAATTTCAATTTCAATAGTTTATTCCTTGATAGAGGAAGCGGGATCCTAGTGCTGTCACTAGGTACCCCTGTACTATAACACCAGAAGCATCTGGCAAGTGTGACAAGTACATACAGTATAAATATTATAAAGGGGCTTACTAAAGCCTACGGAAGGAAGGATATTCCTTTAACACATAATCAATATTATTCACATAATATCTGGCCAGTATGGGGAGGATCATCGTGTCTCCGTCAGGGGGTCGTGGAGTGGTGGTCCAGCAGGCGTCACAGAAGCGTTGTGTGTGGCGACATCTTAGGAGGTAGTGGAAAAGGGTGCTGCTGTCGGGTCTTCTGAGCGTTGCTCAGGGGATGCAGGGATACCAATCTCCCAAGCAAACTCATACCCAATGATGATACGGGCAGCAATCACGTCCCCCTTCCGCGACCCTTTCCCGTAGACGTACGAGAGGTCAGGAAGTTTACGGAGGACATCGTACCAGGTGGGCGGGGAGTCTAGGGGGATGGCTGCTTCCCGAGCTTCTCTCTGTTTGCGGCGAATTTGGGTCCTAATCTGTAAGTGTTCGAGGAACAACGTAGTCAGGTGTGGCCTTGTTGCACTGTTGCAGCCAGTCTTGGCAAGGCCATCTGCTGCCTCATTCCCCAATATACGGACATGACTGGGTATCCATAGGAATGTCACGGGACGGCCTGCATCCTGAAGCGTGGATGTTAACCCTCGTATTCGGAGGATGAGGTCCTTATTTTCCCCTGATCCAAATGCGATCCCGTCGAGAGCAGACCTGGAATCGCAGCAGACAAGCAAGGGGCAGAAACCATCTGCTTCTTCATCAGCGAGAAGGGCAGCAAGGAGGGCTATTAGTTCAGCCTGAGTGGAGGATGCCCCGTCAGAAACTCTGAGAGACAGTTTGATAGGCTCAGGGGCATCAGGACGGAAGATGTAGACACCAGCCCCAGCCCTACCTGTAGCGGGTTCAACAGAACCATCAGTGTAGAGGACGACCCTACCTGGGGACCAGTGAGCGATCCTGGAGAGGTGGTATTTGCAGAGAATAACAGGGTTCACCTGGGATTTCGGGAGCGGTCCACCGAGGGCAATCACTTCAGGTTGAAAATCCAGCCAGGTAGAAGGAGACGAACCAACAGCAGGGGTGACAACAATATCAGGCAGGAGGTCGTGTTCCTGAAGGGCTCGGATGAGTGACCCTCGCCACTGTCTTCTAGATGGAGGTCGGTCTCGGACAGCAGGAGTCAAGTTGGTTTAGACATAGTTGCCCCGAGGATCCCGTAGAATGGAAACGGCAGTTTTTAGGTAAAGTTCCTGGACACGATCCTGTAAGGGGGAAAGACCAAGTTCGGTATATAGAGAAGTAGAGCGTGTCCACTGAGGAGCCCCAAGGATGATACGAGCAGCTTTCCTCTGGATAACTTCGAGACGGTTGACAGCAGTCCGACTAATGTTGACGAGGGCAGGGGCGGCGTAGTCGACACAGGAACGGACAAAGGACTTGTACATGGTGAGAAGTACAGGGATGGTGGCACCAAGGGAACCCCTGCACATGGTAGAGAGGGGAGCGAGACGCCGAAAGCATATGTCTCGAAGATAGCGGACTTCAGGGATCTGACAACGTGTGCGAGTTACATACACACCCAGGCATTTTGTCTCATTAACCCAGTCCAAGGGCGTTCCTGATAAGAGAAGGGGTGGAGGTACAACACGACCGTGCCACATGGCTTTTGTTTTCGCAGTTGAAAGAAGGAAACCAAGTGAGTCACACTCTCTGGAGACCAGATCAAGGGCTTCCTGCATGCTGAGGTAGTCAGGGGCTTGGAGGAGGACATCGTCGGCATATCCTGAGTGGACAACTTCTGTCAGCCACGGGAGAGATGCAATGGAGTGCATCAGAGTGTTAAACAAGGTGGGACTCAGGACTCCACCTTGAGGGGTGCCGAGGTTCATTTCTTGAACGGGAGACATAGAGCCTTCAACGCGAACCCGGGCCTGACGTCCAGTGAGGTAAGAGGCGATCCATTGTAGAAGTCTCCCTTGAACCCCTAACCGTGCAAGTTCAGCTAAAATGAGGGCAGGCTGAGCCGTATCAAAGGCTCCCTTGATATCAAGGAAGACGGAGATGCGGGCAGTCTGATTGCAATAAAAGGAAGCAATGGAGTGTGCTGTGCTGCGATGTTGAATGAAACCATTGAGGGAGTTGTGGAAGTCGCCTATGGTGTGAAGAAGGCGACGATGGAGTATCCTCTCCATCATCTTGCAAACACAGGAGGTAAGACTAATGGGTCGATATTTCCCAGGATCTCCCGGCTTAGGGATGGGGATAATAGTGGCATTTTTCCAGTTGGACGGGAGAACCCCATGTTCATAAGACATATTGTAGAGAGCAAGCAAGGGGCCGTTAGGAATATTAGTACAGGCGTTGAGGACGGAGTAGGTTATCTGATCATCCCCAGGAGAGGTGTCTTTTCTAGAGCGACGAGCACTGTCAAGCTCGAACTGTGTGATGGGATGATCAGTGGGGGCAGGGGAGGTAAGAGCAGCACGAACAACAGGCTCAGACGCATCGATGCGGGCCTGCACTGCCTCCTGCATTGGATCTGGAAGTGCCTCAGGGGAGGAAGCTCGTGCCCAGTCCTCCATTAAAGAGCAGGCAAGGGAGGCGGGGTCAGGGTGGGGAGGAGGCCTCCGTCGAGTACCCCGTATAGCATTAATCCGATTCCATACATAAGAGGGTGACGACTGGAACGATAGAGACCCCGTGAAGGATAGCCAGTCCGCCTCACGTATCCGACGGCGCTCCTGAGTTGCAAAGGAGCACCAATTTTTGAAGTCTTCCCAGTCCTCTGGAGACCGAGACCTCCGTATGGCAGAGTGGAGATCACGGGTTACCTGCCGGAGATGTCTCATGGCAGGGATACGATACCAGTAGTTGGTGGCACTTCTGGGGTGACGGGGAGGGCGTGGAGGGGTAGCGCGATTGACAGAGTCATACACGGCATCAACAAAATCAGCGCTGTAAGAGTCAAGGGACTGAGGGACAACATAGGAATCCGCCCAGGTAGAAAGGTATTGGGTAAAGGAAGGAACAGCATCTTGTGTGAGACGAAGGCGAGGGGATCGATAAGGAGTTGATGTCGTGGCAGAGAAGGAGAGCCTGAGATGGGTAGTAACGGCAAGATGGTCACTATACAGAGCAGGCTCGGTGCAGACGGTAGGATGAAAGGAAGTATGACCGTTCAATAGTAAGCCAACATCAAGGAAACTATGGGGGAGGCGAGTAGGATCGTCAGGACAAAGAAAGCGAACATCATCATCCCCATTAAGAAACTGTGAGAGATGTGATCCGTTAAGGGTACATGGCGTGGGATGATCCGGAGTAAGAGTGGGATGGCGGGCATTAAAGTCGCCAAGAACAATAGTGGGAACCCCATCATGGAGGTCGTGAAGAACCTGGGGGTCCAGAGAATCACTCTTGAAATGAACATTGACTACACGAAGGGTCCGGTCACCAAGAGTAAGGGAGACAGAAAGTAATTCAGACGGGGGTCCATGTGAGTCAGGTGAAGGGAGATGAACAGATGGAATGGTGTTACGCACAAGGGTGAGGAGGCCACGAGCCTG